AACCTTGTATCGGTCTGTGAGGCGGTGTCGGGTGATTCACTCAACTTCCAGTGTTCATCTAGACAGCTTGGAATTTCGTCATCGGAACCAAAGTTTTGTCATTTCGGATATGAGTGTGACAGAACGTTGATGCCCAAAATTCATGATTCAAGGCCTTCGTTGTATACCTTATTCGACAACCTGAAAAGCGTCATAGAGAAAGCGTCGTGATGAAGAAAAGGCGCCGAGGTAATTAAAGAACTTCTATCTAACCCGATGTCCACTATCTATTATCCAGATATAGTTCTAAGGAGAGTCCTGCTTGTTGATTTGTTCACCAATACTAGGTGTTAGTCAACAAATCAACAGGCGATAAACGCATCTGAGCTTCAGTGATTGCCCTCTAGACAAAAGCCCACGGGACCGACCAAAATCGTTTTCTCCGGCAGGTAATTCTCTTCACAAGAAAATTGGTCTCCTGGACCGTGAACAGTTCCGAAACACCAACCAATACATCGAGGATTGTTTACTTTGTTATTTGACAATTTCCGAACGGTGTCAACACTAGTTTGAATAGTTTGCATCGGTCCAACTCGCCAAAATGAAATAAATGCCAGCACGTTTCTACTCGCCATTCAATACATCAATAATCTAGGTGATATCATCAAGCCACCAACTGTCACGTTGCCACCGCTTGGGAATGTCTGTGTCCGAAGCCGGAAGCTGCAATGGTTCTTGCTCTGAAAAGTGTTCTTCCGGAGGACAGGGTGAGTTTCATTACCAGATGGTGTGCACTTGAGAGTGAGGATAACCAAGGAGAGCCTGATGGGACCTGATGATTAGAATCATGTAAAGAGTCATTAGTGGGAGTGGAATAACAGCAATTTGGAAGAGCCATCTTTGAGGGGTGCAAATTTATGTGATTCTGAAGTTAGTTTGTTATAGTTCATTTGGTACCATTCATGGGGTTTCGTTACTTGTGCTACGAAACTACATTACTTCCCATCAATCCCGACCCAAGTCTCCTTCTTGGTTCCGCTTTAGTGCTGCAATGATCCTGCAGGCTGCACTGGCTGAGATTCAGTTCCCCGTTGTTGGGTCATGTCCGGGAGGCCAACAGGGGCAACCCGATGGAGAACAACTAGTCACCGTAATGATAAGAATGATACGACGCGATGTTTCCGTAGTAAGTTGTGCTGTTAGTTGCAACCGCAGTGTGTGAACAGTAAGGCATTTTCCTCAAGCAACCAGCACTTCAATGAATATGGAAATGCACCAATGTCGCCCTCCCTTGAGAACATGTCGATTTATGCAAGGCCATTCAGTTCACCACCCGTAATGTGTCTTTGTAGCCTCCCACCATCGAGCTGAGTTTGCTAAAGTGCTTCGAGAAATGTATGGATTCAGTGTAAACAAAGGTGGTTTTGATGACAGTTGGAAAAAGGAGGAAAAAGCCATTTGCGTCGTTTTTCACATAGTCTGCCGGATGTTACCTTTGAACCCCTATGAAAATAGAATCCTGTCACGATCAGCAGCTCTCAGTGATGCCAGAAAAAATGTACTAGCAACAACCGACAGTGTTGGCGCGCGCATATTCCGAATAAGGAAAACTCTAAAGAGTGGCGGAGAGCGCTGCTGGACACCTGATTTGCGAGAAATGGTTAAATCTTTTGCAGTAAGGAACAGTCGCACGGTATCCCGGCTAATCCGATAAATCAGTTTGAGGAGGGTGGATGTTTGGGAAAATTGCTTCGAAAAAGATCGGCTCATTCACAGAAGCGTCGTCCTGAACGATGGGCTGAATAGTTTGATGAACAGATCAGCTGGTCTCTATCAACTCATTCTCTGGAAGAACCGTACAAACCCGAGTGAGGAGTCAACAACATTCTCCCATCGAGAACGGAGATGTAGCTTGCATTGGTTTAATGCAACAAAGCCCCTGGTCCAGACGGTTTACACTTTCGACTCTTCGAGGGGGTGGCGATCCGCGACTCTACTACAAAATATCTGGAATAAAGACAGACTGTTGATAGAATGGAGCCTCTAGACGATGATTATCATAAAAAATGGTGCATGAACACCGTACGAAACCACCCGAGTACCAGCTTGATGGCTATAGTTTCCAGGGTGTTCTCCGGTTTTATCCTCCCCAGACCGATCCGTCACCGCTAGAATCAGATTCGCGTAAATCAAGCTGGGTATTCCCCTAGCGGAGGTTTTCAGTGATCATTTCTTTACTTTACGATAAGTGTTGAGGATGCCTTACTCCCTTCAACAACTAAAAACAGTTGTTTTCCAAGCCCGAAAGCTGTTTTAAACTATGCGGACTGCATAAACAGTGAATGTCTGACGATGTCGGTACCTTCCGAATTCTTCTCTGTTCTAAATTGTCTATGCGCTTCCTCCCCCGTACCTGTGAGTGTTCAGCATAGTCATCCATTGGTGACATGCAAGAAGGTCCTCTGTTGCTTATCCTTTTCAACTCCGTGGTCAACGCGTTGCTCGAATCATCTTTACCTGGTTCTAAGGCATTGGGATAGTCCCAAGACACACATATCCCAGTGCCATTCTCAGAATGGCAAACCATTTTGAATAACTTGAATAATTCTCTTGTATAATTCGGCATGCACTTTACTCCTGGAAATTTTAAAGTGCTACTGCAAGGTTGGCTGGAATCAAACCGACTTCTCATGCTTGCAGATCGAACATTCGGTGTGGTAGATAAGTTCGTCAGTCTTGGCAACTGCATCAATCCCGGTGAACCGGTGAAGGATAAAATTACTTATCGAATCAAGAAGACCGGAACAGTGCAACTAAACTGTGGCGCTGTCCCGACGTCATTTTGATTGTTGAGGCTATAAGCTTGACTCTTGTTTCTTCCGAAGCAGTGTGTGGCTCTGGAGAGTACACCTGATTTGCAGTACACCAGACGATTTCACGGAAGGTAATTTCCCGTCAGTCTGGTCACGCCCCAGACTCTACACTGGTTAGGCCGTGCACTTCGTGTGCTGGAAGGCTCTTTACCTCGAACAGCCCTATTAGTCTAGCCATATCTCGGGTGGTCAGTCCATCACTGAGCAGGAAAGACCCTACCAATCTTTCTAGTCTCGTCGACAACTACTATCTCTCCGGACGGCGACCTCAGGCGAGAACAACCAGTGGTTAATGACAGTGAGAGATAGAGTTAGGTCTGGCAGTTATTAGCGAACCTACGTCAAAGTCATCGCTGTCGCCGCGCAGCTCTCTCACTGATTAGGTCATCGGCTTCAAAGTGTGGGTCTCATTCCATTGTTGTACTTATCCTCCAGTAAATTAAATTGGAGGCTGGAAACGATGTATTCTGATATACTGCTCGTAGCTAAACAACCAGACTGAACTGATGATGTCGTCAGCAGCACGGGTCCCATGAGTCCTCGTGGATAAGATTCGCTTTTCATCTGGGTATTGCTGACCAACCAGTGTTAACTTAAGCTCAATGGATTTAGCATCACTAACCCACAATGTCACTGATTCATACCTGGCGACCTAGTGTTGGTAGTTTCACATATAGACGGCATTTCAGAGAAGAACTAGCGGATGGCTTCTCTTCTGAGTGCGTTACTTGGCACAAGGTTACTGAATTTTCGCTTCAGTGAATGGGACCGTTGGAACTAGGCCTTATTGCAAATTACACCCAAGGAATGTTGATGGACAAGTCATTAGGTGAAACCATTAGTCTTGAGTCGTTTATCACTCTGTGAAGGTCAAATTCTGAGAAAGAGCACATAATAGCACTCTGTGGTCCAAAGTTCAAATTTCAGCAATTTACCCCCGGTAGTATGGAGTTGATTTCTTTACTAGGTCCTTCAGTGGAACAGATGCAAACATTTGCGTTGTTAAGGAACCGTCGGTGACTTTTTATCCGCTGGCTCAAATCCATTCGTAAGATGACTCGATAAAAGTCCTAGGCTGCCTGGAAATAAGGTTTGATACGACTAGATACAAATGTTAGGATGCCCTGGGTGTGCAACGATCTAAGGCGTTCTAATTTTAAGCAGGATCATCTGTCTAGACACTCTGAGGTTATTGTCAAATCATTCAGAGTACTTCGTCAGGGTGTATTATGGTACAAGCCAGGACAACGGAGATGGAGCGAAATGGTGGCCGATTGGATACCGTCTGCCTGACCTAGTTTGTACCTCTCTATCCATTTTGTCAGGGCGGGCTCAGACAGAAGAAAAAGCACATGTGTAGAGATTGACGCATCCCCGAGGTCACCATCGGTTCGACACGTCCGGAAAGCAGGTGAGTTGGCGGCTCTCACCAAACCTGGCTTAGCAACATACGACCAGCGTAGTGGGCCTGAGAGTGTTCACGACCGGAACACCACCATTGGCTGTACAGAACGAACAAGTGAACGACCATATTTGGCCTTTTAGGCATCTTATGTATTTACGCAGACGCTCTGTATGTTTGTCCTGGCAATACAGCCGTGTCCCCAGTCCTCTGTCTTCTCCCTATCGCGTAGTCTGGCAGGATCAGTGCAGGCGTAACCAACAGATGGCCACCGCAAGATACAACATATTTCCTGCACGTAATTTGGTAAGAATGATCATATTTAGCTGAATTTAGTCCCTTCTTCCTATAATTAATCGCTGTGTTGAATACCCACTCGGCTACATGACCAGATAGTCTTAGTACTACTGCACATTCAGCTGAGAAACGGCATAAATGATTTCGAAGGTTGATTGAATTCTTCATTTATAGCTATTTGGTGCGAAGCTGCTTGAATTTCCACACCTGCTCCAAAACCTACCAAGACGGTCAAGAAAGCGAGGTGTTTCATGTGCTTCTTAGAAATTTGAACACTTGGATTCTAAGGCAGATATACAAGTTACGTTTCTCAAAATCACTGACCAATCCTTTCGGTAAATGCTTCGAAAATCCACACTGTACAAAAAATCCGCGGAATACTGTCTGGAAGTTACATACAGTGTTACACACAAAGTTACACACAATGCGTAACGGATGCATAAAATTGCTCAGGGTGGAAGATCAATCAGTCGCCAAGGACTACCCAGCGTGGTGGACTTGTGCTCTACCACAGTGGAAAGGCTGTTGGCCGAGGTGGAACGGGGTTGTGATTCACAAGTTACCTGTTGGCTGTAGGTACAAGAGGGTTCCAATGCCGTATTAACCGTCTTGACCGGTGTATTCGCTTGGATGAGATCCAGTTGACTAAGGTCTTGTGAATCGTTGACAATATCAGCCGTTGTCACTAAAATCGCATTCGTCTGTGAGACAACATTTGACGGAGCTAGGACACATAGTTGGCCGTCCACGGTGATGAGACTCAACTGACCGGGAAGATAATTTATTGGAACATCAACCATGGACTGTTGCATACATTGTGGTGATAACGACTGAACGGAATTATTAGGAGTCGTCAGGTTGGACAGATGACTATCAGCCACACTATTGGAAACAACTTTATCCGCGTTACTGCAAGGTGGGCCAATATTAACAACGCTCCCACCTCGTCCAGAATCAACATCCGATTCTAGCACATGAAGATCGAGATGATGCGGTTGATGTGAGGATGATATCAACTTTGAAGGGTTCCGAACGAAATATTTATCCCTGATGAAAGACGACGTTGCGTCAGCTTGACTCTGTGAGCTACTCATTGGAAGTGCTAGATATCCAACGCCTGTAGATGTATCCACATGAACGAGGCATCTATCATGTTCCATTTGCCCGTCAATACTGACGTTGAGGGGATGACTGGTTGTAATGCCTTGTGTTGGAGAAAGCTGAACAGCTGTTGGGTGGAAGCGGTGACTTGGCTGAAAGTGGGCAAGGAAAAAAACGATTGTAAACATCACATGCCACCTAATACGATGTAAGCCTAATGACGGAGCAAGTTATTTAAAACGATCGCCATTAGGTGATAAATTATTAATGGATCAAGTTACCTCAGGTTCAGGTTCTTTTAGCGCAGCTATCAGTCATCTCTGAGGAAACAGTTCACAGAAAACTCTACCTCTCAAGGGCTACTAATTTCCTTTAGAAACATTCTTACCGTTAAGCTTCCGAGATCGGCTGGCAGGCGGATGAGACCATGTTTATTCGGTTTCTTATGGTGGTCTCGCCAGAACAGGACAACTTTTTTGTCAGAGCGCGACTGGCTTTGGTACATTCACTATAGCAACCAGGACAGTATCTTGTTCATGGAAGCAATGAGATAGCAACAGTGAGATAACCCGCACAGTGGTCGGAACTGAGTTAAACCGTGGCTGCGTACTGAACGTGTCAAAATCGACTCTCTGCCCATGAATGATTTTGAAGTTGGACATTAGCAATGAAATCTTACACACACTGTACATGGAATCAATACGTCCTCAATCACGGTTGTTGTCGGAATCAGGCTCTTGTTGCTACCTGAAAGATCTCAGTAGTCATTCATGGTATTGGTTACAAGATCGAGTAGACCACCGACAGAAGTCTAAATGGTCACTCACTCAGCCGTAACACCCTTTCGGTGCATAGCTGCCATGCCACCCGAAGGTTGCATGAGGGCTGGGATACTGCTAGGTTGCCCAAGCCTAGACAGGGGAAGTCGAGAGGCAGAGGTCGGGTTCGTACCACAGACCTTCGGTCTAACCACTTGGGCCATCTTGCACACAAAAGTCTAAAAGCGAGGACTTACTGCTTCGCAAATTTCATCAGTTTGAGCTTGGGTCGCTGGGCGCCACTTTGTACTCATTCATGACACTAGATTTAACCACTTGATGTTTGATATGCAGATTTCAGCAAATTACATTTTCGCACATACATTCAGGTAATACGGGATTGTGAAATCTGTTTGTTTGAGCCTAGCTGATTCTCCTTGAATACTGGTTTTTGCTCATGTGTGCGTGTGCATCTAAAATTTTTTGGCGAAACAGTACATCTCATCACAGGAATGAATAGGTTTAGGATGAAATGCACTGGCATTCAGAAATCTGCCAGCGAACGTATTCATTTGCACACAAAACTGTGGACTACTTTTAATGATCCGATATTAATTCTTCGTGTAATACTAATACGACCTTTCGCCTATAATCCACCTGCCCCATACATGGCTTTGAAAGGTAGTTTTAGCGTCTCCAGGAGAGAGGATTTTTTATGGCCGCGTACATCTACGTAGATTGAACTTTTTCACGCGAACAGACCGGTTTCTGGATGTAGACACGATCCAGACAGGTGTAATTCATGTTCTGAATGTCGTACATCTGGAAGGGCTCTGTTCACTATTGACAAATGTACTTTCGGGTGGTCCTACAAATTACTTGTTGTAAACGAGATTTCTGACGGCTCACATTTGGACATTCTGATTGAAACAGTATTACAAGTGTCAAGTTGGACAAGCTCAAAGGCACAATTGCAGAGAATTTATAAATCCATGTGGAGCAGAATAACTATAATTTGATCAGTTTATGCAGACGAAACATATATGTCGTCCAGAAATTTTGGATAGAAGACTAACCGTAGTTAGACATAAAAGTTTGAACCTCCATCAGTCACTACTAAGTCTTGCGACAACAGAGTAATATTTTTTCTCAATTTCCCGCCTACACTGGTTGTTCGGGACATGAACAACTGCGGGGTAATTCTTTCTGTACCACAGATGAAACTGAGCTTACTCAGTCTTGTTTAGCCTAAATTTGATGACAGAAACAACATGTCTATGAGGCACACTGTCGTTCGGGGTTTTCCTGCAAACCGCACGAACACACATCAAAACAAGCTGGTCAATATGAATATACAATGTAAATCTTCGAATTAGTAAAAGTGCGTGAAAAGTCTGAAGGTGAAGGTTTATTTGCGGTTCAACGACTGGCATATACCTGAAGAAATGTATTGCCTGAGTGGGAAGGCAATGATTCAGCGAATTTGTGGTTTGAAACCAGTGGATATGTTCTTGCCACGTCAAGTTTGCAAAGCTTACAGTGTACGAGGACACGACCAATTAATGGAAAATACTAGCATACCTGAATCAGTTAAGGTATGCAGTTTACCAATCAATGCTTACAGTCATACCGTGTGGGACAAGGACAAAAACAGCTGTTCAATGCTGCGTCATTTACCCTCCTTTAGCCGTTTCAGTCAGGGAGAAAGATAGTCACCCGTGTGGTGATATACGGGTAGCTGATCGTGATGGGATAGGAGAATAGCTTGTTGTCTACCGATTAACCGTCGACGGTCACATACCCAGTAGTGGTAATTTAGTAACTACTTCAATGACGCTAGCAAAAACTGTAAATGATATCTGGTCAACCACTGTTTGACCAAACATCGTTGTGGCCACGGAACTAAATGAAACCTACTGAGATAAATGACCTAAACGAACGGGAACTTTCAAGCTGAAGCTCTGACGGGATTTGCTGTTCGTTCTGAAAAGCCTGTTTAACTATTTACCGCAGTGCTACTTCTTCAGAGCCTATCGGCCAAAACATGCGTCCTTGAAATGAAGGATTGCATCATTTCAAATACCGGTGGGGATTTAAGAGTTGGATTAGTCTTGTACAAACTTCCGAAGCCAGTTTTTTAATCACACTGATGAGGATAAGACAGGAATCGTAGAGGTAAGGTAGAGGTTAATGATAAAGCGATATGTGGTTCGATAAGCTTACAAAAAGCTTTCTAATTTCGTGGTGAGAAGCAAACGACATCGCATGTTTTAAAAAAATGTGTTCTTTTTCAAACTTCACAAGATTACGTACTCTTCAGGACTTGACAAAAGGCCTTAAATCAAAACTAATCTTCAGTTCGACAAAAATTCACTGAAAAATTGAGTGCGCTAAGTTCAACGAAAGTAGAACGATCAAGAAAAATAGATGATCTCACTCGCATTTCACACAAAACATGACACCATACTCCTTTAGCCACCCGAAGTATTTCAGCTGAAGTATTGCCTAGCTTCCTGTGTGACGGCATCTCGGATAGTCGGTCCACCGGTTGCATACTGTTGCATACAACCCTCTCATTCCAGACGGGATAACAACACTAGAAAAACCTCGAAAGATGAGAGGTTTGACGATGATAAGAACCCTGAAGAACATAATTTAGCAAGCTCAGTCCAGAACAGTACGTAAGTCATACAGAATTTCATCAGAAATCTATCCCTTCCATACGAATTGTGATCTGAAATTGATTTTGCTGGTGGTTGGTCAGATGGCACTTGATTTGTCTGCCGAGATTGCCAACTGGCTAGCAAACGTTTCGTCTCCAGTCGAGGAGACATCGTCAGTGCGCAGTTGAATGGGTTTGGTTACGACATCCTTTCAGTTCATAAATAACATGTTACATGACACAGAACTGTTAGAGTCACAATCAAAGCTTGATTAGAAGAATGACAGCAATCTAAATTCGATGGGTTCACCACCATTTTTGTCTGCATAAAATGATTACAGACTACTATGCGTTGTTGCCTAGATGAGCACATCAGAAAATGAATTTACATCTAAACGTCTGGAATGTCTTCTGGTCCCTTTTGTGAGTTTCTTATCTTGGAAGGAAATTTCCACAGTGAATTTTGTGTAGCGAGGTACTTCCACTGTGGAGTTTTTTCCTGAAATGCAAACATACTTACATCATGAACTCGCTGATTTTGTTCCGTATGGCAGCTCACCAAATCTGACGGTATGCGCATGAAGCCCGGCTTTGCGAGCAAACGTTCTTGGTTTCCGGCTTCTGACCTAAGGGCATCCGCATAATTGTTGGAAATGGTTGGATCCTCGGAAGAACCATTATATACCGGGTCATCAACCGGAGTGTTTACCGTGTCACCTTCTGCCAACAGTTTAGAGGATTCTGTTGTCATCGCACAAGGTGATGATGAGGTTGTGCGAGATACCATCGGCTGACAAGTCATCTGTCGGTTTTCACAAATAGCATATTCTAAAATAAAAAATACGAATTAGGAAGCGATTTTTGTTCCTGCAGAGTGAAAGATGAATACGCAAGACTTTTCGCTACAGAAGTTCTGCATTTGCACCATTAAAGGAAAGAGTTTAGTCACTGATTCGGTAAATTCCGCCAGGTTGTGGGTTTTTTTCCCACTCCCTAACGCCACATTCAAATAGATGGTATCTATTCCAGTTAACGTTGTTCATCGATGCAAGCTAACAGACAAGTTCATCCAACCATTCAGCCAGACCCGGTTCGGTGGGTAGATCAGTTGACGTCATACAGTTGTCCAATTTACGGTACTAACGGACGGGTAAGGCAAAAAGAGATTCGATTGGGGATATTTCAGGGAATATCGGTTCTCCGTCTACTGGCCGAAGAAAAGGTACCGAAAATTGCGTTTCATTCTGATTCTATTCTATCGTTCATTAAACTTCCATCTGTAGCGGAAATCTTTAAGCACGGCCACTGCAGAGGAATTTAGACGCATTCTACCATAACATAGAACGCTGTTAACAAAGTTCGGTGAAAGATTGGCTAAGACAGCGAAATTTAGACAAATTGGCCATTTCGAGGAATTATAAAGTTGGAGACATATTGTGGACTAAATAAAAAGATGGTCGTTTTGAAGGAGTTTTTCGTGAGGGAGCTGCTTGTAGAGAGGTTTTTGATTGCAACGCTCACTATGGAACGTCCGCTGCAGTCATTGCATGCACCAAGGGGCGGATCAAGCATATTACACCTAAACTGTGTCATTTAGGTGTTACTCAGGTCTACAAAACCTGTAGGAGAACATACAAAATGAGACACCTACGGCTACAAGCTACTGCATGCGAAATTTAACTACAGCATTAATGTACCTGCTCCATAGAACCAGTTGAAATATGGGTACTGGCGGAATATTTGTTATGGAAAAAGAGACCGACGGTAGCCTTCAAGTTTCGGTTTTAAGCTGCATTCTGTGCAAAACATTACTATTATTCTCTTGACAACCCATGTGACTGATAATCGGGGGGGGGGGGGGGGGGCGGAAACAATGC